ACGCTGGCTCAGCGCTGCATTTGAGTAGTACTGCACATAAATGGCTGACGTTCCTCCACATCTCATTGACGTTCGAAACTCTACTGGGAAGTTCGATGCCGACCATAAGTGCTAAGTCGAGGAAACGTGCCAGATCATGGTTCAAGAAAGGACAGACACTCCAAGTCCCAGCAGATTGTGCTGCGAGGGCGGCGGGCCCAGACTCTGTCAAGGAGGTGGATATTGTGTGCACGGTGCGGTGGGCTTAGGCCGTCGATTAACGTATATGGGCGGGAGCGTTGGCATGTTGTGATTTATAGTCGAGATCGAGTCAAGTGGTGAGATGAAGATGAAGATAGATGTTCGCGTCTGTGATATAAAGCTGATGGTCAGTGTCGTATAGGACTCGAGTGATCCTGGCGCGATCCACCGGGATAGGTTGGCTATCTGAAACGAAAGGTACGTTAGCCGCAATGAACTCAAAGTCTTGTGACTTACTTTACTGAAAGGTCTTTCCAACGATACACCCAGCTCCGTGGTCCAATCAGACCCAAACGCACAATAGGAAGTATCACCTGACGATAGTTCCTAGCATTCGAAGACGAAGATTCCTTGCGGATCCGATACGGGAGGATTGTGGTTGAGAATGAGGAGGTGGACAGATCCGTTGACGATTGAGTTGAAGCAAGATAGAGACAACTGGGAGAAAGGGCGATGGATAGGCGTGAAGTCCAAGCATTGGTTTGGCGGCAACGAGAGCAGGTGGGGACCGTCGGGTTGGCATAGCCTATATCCGTATTGAGGATCTGCAGAGTCGTGATTGAAAGTACAAAAACAGCCGGGAAACTGACCAACTTCTGCTTGCGCGTACTTCGTAACGAGGATCGGAATGAAGGCAATACTAGAAGGAGGATTATATAGATGAGAACAATCAGGTGAAATAGAGAAAATTTACCAATGATGTTGCACCAATGGTGATGGAGCTTTGAACTTTGCATAAGCCCGTCGAGTTCGATTCCCGTGGAGACTCAGAGAAGGCCATCTCCGCAACGCAATCTCAAGAGGAGATTTGCCTTTCGAAGAAGAAAGTGTCAGTCAGGGGTTATAAGGTGTGTCGGTAGCAGGTTGCTTGACAATGCTTGTCGATGTCGTGGTCGACGTTGATGATGATGGCAAACCTGTCCCAAGCGCTCATGACGTTGCTCAGTCGTTAACCCTTTGGTCCGCTCTGGCAAATTTCCACCACGTCAGCTACGGAATTTAGATTCTCAATGGCTCCGAATTTAACTCTGAATTGACTATGCAAGAGGCTCATGCGCTGTCGCAG